TGTTTTCACAACCGGTAGTCTCCCCCTACTGTGTTTTAAGAAAAGTTATTTTACCAGTTCTAGGGCAAGTAGGGAATACTGAGTTTTACAACATTCAACTACTATTTTATCAACCATTTAATTGATGATGGTTAAAGGTGCAGCACCAACTTGAAACCACTCCCCCCTCCCCTCGCCTCTCCACCAAACCAAACATCCAGTATTTTCTTTTCTTTGTCACAACAGGGACAGTGGGTGGCAAACGTGAAATTGTCATTTTCTGTACAGTCATTTTAGGTTTTAGAAAATCCGATAACTCAGGTGTGTGCACTCGCGAGATACAGTAAGAGGGTGAAGGCGGTAAACTAGGGGTGCAACGGTTTGAAAATATCACGGTTTGGATCGTACCTCGGTTCAGAGGCCACGGTTCGGTTCATTTTTCAAACAAAAAAGTTTTGTCTTTTTAATAAACACGGCTCATGTGGACTCGGCACCTGCAGGAGGATCAGTGAGGGGCTGGTGCTCTGTGTACTGGGTGCAGCTCTGACTGCCACCCCCATGACCTGATTAAGGGGAAGGAAATGGATGGATGGAAGGCATATTCCATCCATCCAATTATGTCTTTTTAACATAATTCATGAAAAACAACACAAAGTGCAACATAAGAAGGCACTTTATGAGGGTATTTACCCTCATATATTAAACCACCTTCCTGATTCTCCCAAGGAGGCGGTCCATTCTGGGCCCAGTCCAGCCTCATTCACTGCATTTCATTTTTGGCATTATCAATTGTGACTGGGATATTAGTGCTGGACCTTTGTCTTCCATTACTCCGCTGCTTGTGTCAGTAACTGCGCTGTGTGCCTGTGTGACTTTCGTAGAGGGGGCGTGTCTGCAGCGCCAGACTTCTCATCTCCCAGTCTGCTGTGATGAAGTGAGCGGCTATCGTAACATAGCTCTCCGTTCCGCTCATGGATCTATTATAGGGTCCGAAAGACGTCCAAGCGTCAGTCGTGATCGCCACTGTGGATGTGCGGGAGAGTTGACTTAAGCCCAGTCTGACTGTACATAAAAGGGATGCTTAAATGCTGCTTACATCAGTGAAGAACCGTTGCATCTCTAGAGTAAACGCATCCCATTGGTTCGTAGGGGATGAACGAATCACATTTGTCTATTCTTATCGGTCTTATCGGTCCGCTTATTTAATTATGTTTTATTAATTTTTGGAGACTATAGGTATCTGGTCAATTCTATTACTATTTGAAAACACATGATAACTTGACTACTTTTAGGGTTTAGGGACGTTTTCCCACAATGTTTAAAAAATGCATCTGGAAAAAATGACTGACTGCATCTTTAACTGCTGTACACAGACTCCAACATATGTGAGAGCACTGAGATTGAAAGAGGAGAAATCCACATACACACAAAAGAATGATGAAATCTCGTTTTTGATGAGAAACTGAAGACCAATCAATGAGGATGTCCATTTGAAATAGAACATTTCAAGAAATAGAAATAGAAATGATGAAAAAAGTGTTAATTACGATTTGATCACCTTACCAGAGTTACCAGAATACAACTTTTGCTAAACATAATATCACATGTAGATCAAACATCTTCATTCATCCATATACCTGTATAGTTTGGCGCAGTATTTTGAGATCTATTATGCACAGATTTTTGGTGGTATTCAAAATAACCATATGCATTACATTACATGACGAAAAGTCAAATACTGACCGTAAAATGTCCACACAATTCTCTGATCTGTGTTGGCGAATTTACCGGTTTTGTTAAAGTGATGTAAGTCTGTAACTCTAAATGAATTACAAATTTTAGGAAATGTGTTAAATTGATCTCCTGGCCTTAAATATTTATATAAAATAAGTAATTTTATTAATTCTAATATTACAGGTAAGTCCCGCCTTCCCTTCTCTTAGCTATAGCTCAGAATCCACGATGCCGTAGAGGTTAACCAATCAAGTGATGCCAAGGGCTGTCAATCATCGGCGCTGATGCTCGTAGCTGCTCATGCTCAGTTGTTTGTTTTCGCGGAACCTCCGAATCAAGCCTCTATTAGGCTCTGGAACTACATGAAAACTGAACAAAGAATTCTGAACATCTGCGCTGAGGTACTTATGTATATACTGAACCTATATCCATAACCATTTATATACTGAACCTATATAACCATTTATATACTGAACCTATATCCATAATCATTTATATACTGAACCTATATCCATAATCATTTATATACTGAACCTATATCCATAATCATTTATATACTGAACCTATATCCATAATCATTTATATACTGAACCTATATCCATAATCATTTATATACTGAACCTATATCCATAATCATTTATATACTGAACCTATATCCATAATCAGATCCTCTGTGGATGTGTCCTATACATAGTTCCCACAGACCAATGAATGTCACATGACCTCCTCGGAGACGCCATCTTTGATGGCACGCTGCTGTGTTTGTGCATTCAATTAAACAGAAGAATGAGAATAAATGTAGATATTCAAACGCAAATTGGAAAAAAAGGGCAACTTTTGAGCAAATAATTGTATATTAATACAATGGCACCACAGTTTAACGTGCTACGGACATGTTTTACATATTTGATCAAATTATGCAGCAAAAATTAACAAGCAATGCAAACATTTCTCAAAAACTTTAGATTTAATACCAGTTGGAGCTCCATTTAATTATTTTAATTATATTAACAATTAATTTAATTAATGCTAATGCCACACGGACACTCTGGATTGCTGTTATTGTTTATTTCCGCGTTTTTGACCGTATGTTTTGGTGAATGGTGGGCAACTGATTTTTCCAGGCGTAAAGAGCAGTTTATTTTATGACACAGATCTTTTTACAGAAGCAATGCTGTTTGTGAACATTGTTTTAGCCCACCATAGAACTATTATTATCTATTTAATACATTTACGTTGCCCTCGAGAGCCTCGGACGCGACACCGATCCTCCTCATAATAAAGTAATCTAAATAATGAAACTCTCAAGTTACCAGCTATCAGCATACACAAGTTAGTACTGAGTAAATTACGTCTGTCAACACATTATAAGATACGATACGCACCTGACACAAAGTGCTCCGAGCATATTCTTGCGTGTTTTGAGGGAGTTTCTTGCCTGTTTATCTTCGCAAGCCATAACCTCCGTGGTTGTTCTGACAAAAGCTTAGTCTTCTCACATTCATGAAGTCTAATGATGGGTATACTGTAAAATCCAAGTTTAACGGAACCTCCGGCACGATTTGAACATCCATTGACCCAGCAGGAGATGACCATTTTCAACTTTATCACGACATTAACACGTTTCAGCTTCTTTTTCTATTGTTTTGCCCACAGAATGCCAACACAAATGGCGCCGGGTCGGCAAATCCCCGTATGTAGTGACGTCATGTGGGAACTATGTATAATGTGCAGTTCATGATAATAGTTTCTTCCTGGTTTGCCGCGATCGCTTTTTTGGTGCATAAAAACATTATTTTTTTCATTAAAACGTTAACAAATAAATCTGAAAACCTCCGTGCATGTGTATTAATATTGTATATGTATAATGTGTTCTCTCATTAACATTTAAAAGTGTTACGGAAACGTAGGTGTAGACCAATCAGAAAGGAAGGGGGAGGAGCTTGCGTCGTTTTTTTCAAATCAAGTACCTCTGTCTCTTTCTGACAAACTCTAGACCAGGGGTCGGGAACCCAAAATGTTCAAAGAGCCATAATTGACAAAAAAACTAAAAACAACATCTGTCTGGAGCCGCAAAAAATTAACAGCCTTGTATAAGGCTTTTATGAAGGTAACACAGGCTGCAAGATGTATTAGCTATATTAGCCTAATATCTAAATGACAAAGTAAAGGCTACAAATACATAATAATCATTCATGATTATCAAATGTGTATTTTCACTGCAGCGTGTCGCACCACGCGTGTCGTGAATGACGCAACACGTGACACCTCTGCTTTAGTTTAACTTCCATTTTTTTGCCTTCATGCAATTGTAGAAATACAGAAAAATCAATCTGCTTTGGGCTCAGAGGTCACATACCTGCATCACTTTCTGCTCATATCCATCACGTCACAGGCTGAAGTTTGCTGGAGCTGAATTAAAATCCTTAATGGCCTTTTCTTTCACCGTCTTTGAGAAAGTTTTGAAGTCTGAAAATAGGTGCTCTGAATTTTTGATGAATGAATCCTTCACGTAATCACCGTTTACGGTGTTTTGCGCGTCATTGTTCCTCGTGTTGCAACAAAACTTTTCATTACAAACATGAAGCAGTCCTTCCTCATTGACTGAAAGAAAATGTTCATACTCATTCTTAGTCCAGTCTTGTTATCGACTCTTTAGCTTTGGGATCCATGTGCACTTACAGTCTATGATGCTCACACGCCGGTTTGTTTACAGCAGCGGCCGCATGGGGCGGGGCCGCGTGACCGCGCGTGATAGGATATGACTCACTACGTTGACAGAAATGTTGAAATTAGATATTACTTATACATATTTTTACAGCATTTAAAAACGTAAAGATTGTTTTTCCTTCTACAGAAACCACATTCAAACTAGAAATAAAATATAGCCCTCACACTCCATTTTTAGACATTTTTGAAAAGGCTCCAGGAGCCACTCCAGGAGCACTCAAGAGCCGCATGCGGCTCCGGAGCCGCGGGTTGCCGACCCCTGCTCTAGACAATCACTTTAGTCCTCTGAGACAACTACTGTTGTGATTTATGGCTATACAAGAATACATTGAATTGAAATAATCTTGTGCCCCCCAAGTTTAGTGTCTTGCACGCCTTTTAAGGTCCGGTGCCCCTTTTTAGGACCCATTGATTAAAAATGATCATTTAGATAGTATTATTGTCTCACGCTTTTCAATGTGTCACTTGAATCATTAAAACTCACTTTTTCTCTCTGCTCCCTCTGCAGGCTCTCCTAAAGTGGCGGGCGGCGAGAGGTCATAACCCTTGGCTCCAACATGGCTTCGTCCGTGTGGCTTCTGGGCACTTGTGTGCTCATGTTGTCTCACATCGTCCCATTTGGTCAAGGTAAGATTCCCCCATGTTGTGTTTTTTTTAATTTTAACTAAAGATTCGTACACATTTGAACATTCACCCCATAAAAAGTCAAAAACTAAACTTGACAGATTCAAGACAATAAGGAGTTTAGTAGTTGGAGTTTAGTAGGACCAAACCAAGACCAAATTCAGACTATAGCCCCTTGGAAAAATGCACCTTTACCTGGTTAAACGTCAGAGAGACAGTTTTTTCTACACATCACCCTCTTTTTACTAATGGAGATCAAGCTAATGCGTTCCCCGCCAATCTTTGTAAGATAGCAATGTTATTTGCCGTCAAACATATCAAGGGAATAACATCGCTGTCTTACAAATCTCTGGTATAGAAGACTCTTGTTCTGAAATAAATAATTGTTTTACATTTCTGAGAGTGCTAGAAGTTTCAGAATCCCAGTGTTAAAGTAGTTAATAATGCAGTTTAGGTTAACTATTTGTGCTCAATGTTGTATGTTACTATGGTGACGCAGAGTGATGTGGATTATGTAATTTAACATGAGGTTAAATACTAATATTATTATATTATTATATATAGTATGTGGATTTATTCTAATGCTGTACTAAGAAGTCCAGAGGAATGCCTGTAGTAAAGAAATGTCAAAATGTCCATAAAGCTCGATGTTGTAAATCAGTGTGGTCGCTTTATGAAACGCTTGACCCACATAAACAAAGATTAGCGGCGCATTTCAAGTGCAGTTTGCCAAATCGAGTATTTCAGCGTCGGCTTCGTGGTTAATCAACAATCTGTCATTCAGTGTCACAGACAGTTACAGCAGCCCTTTACAGATTACAGCAGTGTGGTAGGTTTAACGCAGGCTTTAATCTGCTAAATGGTAATGCTCACTTCGATGTGGACAACCAGATTAAGGTGAAAGTAATATGATTTTCTCCTTTTATTCTCCTTTACATGGATTAAAATGGCAGTCAGGTACATTCGCACACTCTGAGTCTCACTGATTTACGTCAAGAGCAGAAAAGAAAATCAAAGATGGGATTATTTCAGCTAGTCCCTGACAGAGTTTCCTCTGTGTCTGTGGTTTAAGAACAGTAGATGTCGTATTGTACCATTCTATCACATCCAACTGTCATAACCAAGGTGAGATTATGGGAAGGCCTCCACGGCAGTCTTCACACAAGCAGCATGTTCGCACACATTTGAGTGTTAGATATCACAATTACAAAAAGATGGCCTTATTTTAATTAATTTATGTAAAAGTATGTAATTATATTTAATATCTTGTGATACATTTCACAAAGTATAGCTGTTTACTCTAAATGAAGCTGTAATTAAACATGAGCTGACATTAATAATTACTGTACATTTACATTAATAATGAACAATTATTTTGTTAAGTGCCTTCAAAAAAATTAATTATTCATGTTTCACATACATCATAAACATAGATCAAATTCATCTGAATGGTGTCAGGCGTCTGTATTTGGGTCTGGAAATGCAGCTGCTATTGTTGCATAGATCAAACAAAATCTCAACATTCATGAGAACATTAATCACAATCGTAACAAAGTATGATGATGATTTTATTCTCTAAAGATGCACAAACTACTACTACTTTGGTGGAGGATTTTTAATTTTATTTTGTCTTATACCTCTTTTTGAAATCTTCTGTGGCTTTAATCTTTTCAGAGAAATGCAATAAAGCTAAATCTGATTATTAACATGTGTTAAAGTATACACACACCCTGACCTTCATGTTTGCTCTCCTCCCACAGCTGCCATGTCGCGGGCTGCCATGCCGTTTGGGCTGCTCCGCAGGGAGCTGGCTTGTGAGGGATATCCCATTGAGCTGCGATGTCCCGGAAGTGATGTAGTGATGGTGGAGACGGCAAACTACGGACGAACGGATGACAAGATCTGTGACGCAGACCCTTTTCAGATGGAGAATACACAATGTTACCTTCCAGACGCTCTCAAGATCATGGCCCAAAGGTGAATGTCTTCTATACATCCTGTCATTCCTGCATCCTACACAATATGTCATGAGTAAAATACAATTGGCTACAAATAATTACTGATAATTATTCAGGTATCAATCTACAGTGTTGTGCTTTGGACAGATGTGTAAAGCAGTGCATTGTTAGTGTGTACACTTTGGAAGCAGTGATTCAATCAATGGAGACTACTGTAGTACATACATGTAGAGTTCGCCCTCTCATCCTGCGTGTGTGTGTGTGTGTGTGTGTGTGTGTGTGTGTGTGTGTGTTGCTATCTCCAACTGGGTGTGAGTGGTTGGCTGCACCATTAGCGATGCACTCAGCAGTGTTTTCCTAGAAGACCTGATCAATATTCACTGGGAGGTGGAGGAGACAAATCGAGTGTCCTTTCTTTTGCCTTTCCTGCCTTCTAATCACTCATCTTCATTTATCTCTTTTTTTACGCATCCCCCTTCGTCGCTCCATCCATGTGGGGTAGATGTAACAACAGAACTCAGTGTGTTGTGGTCGCGGGGGTGGACGTTTTCCCAGACCCCTGTCCCGGAACCTACAAGTATCTGGAGATCCAATATGAATGTGTCCCCTACAGTGAGTATTCATCATTTTTATGTACAGACTCAAATGTCTACACATGTTACTTATAGGGATGCACTAATACCAATACTGGGAGTAAATATGGCTGCCGATCCAGAAAAATGTGGGTTGGGTTAGGTATTTGGTTCTCTGTTATTGCTTAAGATGATGAAATAAGCCTTTTCATTGGCTGATGAACGTCAAAGTTTTAACAGAGATGTTTTTTTCAGAGATGTTCTGAAGTTAACTGTGATTTGAGGTTTGAAAGTTTTGCTATTTTCTAGGATAGACATCGGTATCAAACAGGAAAAAGCTGCATTGGTGCATTCCTAGTTGTAGTCGTAGTTTTGATGATACAAATGTTTGTAACAGCACAAGTAAAAAAGTGTTGACATATAGTCCCATTCATTATCTGGATCCATGAGCAGAGATGTGGAGTGATGCTAAAATTGTACTTGAAAAAATTGTACTTTCCAAACGTTGTTTGTCTCAACACTTTTGGCTGACTTACAGAGTTGGAAAGCAAAATTGACAATCAATTCATCTTTAGATGTTTCATGGACCACACCATTTGTATCAATCAAGAAGCAAAACAGCAACATTATTTTAATTTTGTCAACATATCACTTTTGTCACTCAAAGTCAGTGGACTCAGAGAATGTTCAAAGGTACAATTGGGGGTGGGTGCAAAATGATATGAAGAAGAAGCAAAGTAATTCCAGTGCATTATGCCAACACTCAATAAGGACAAGATATAAATTACCACTTCCAGTGTGTTCCCCTCGTGAAAATAGCAGCATAAGCTGGAAATACTGTGCACTATTTTACCTCCCAAGCACCACCAGAAAAAAATGGCTGATTCCACCACCTCCAAACCTCTCTGGGTCTGGCTTAGGGTAAATGGGACTACAGTAAATCTCACTAAGAAACCGTAATACTTCATCATGAAGGTTTTTCAAACATATTTCAAAAACACATTTGTTGAACTTTGGAGGAACCCATGTCTCCACCAGAATGAGCTCCGTTGACTGTTTGAGAAACACTAAATTAGGTTATGTATACAATTTGGTTATAACTGAAATTTGGGGCTGGCTCACGTAAGTAAGTACAAATTCATACAATTAGTTCTGTTACAGTCACTGTGACTGTCAAATATTTTAGTAAGTTGTCTGAAAGCTATTGAGTAGAATTATTAAGAATACATTTCAATTTAATTTAATGTAATGTAATTTATTTTCAATAAATCTAATTATGCAAATATACACAAGTGTTTAACAAGTACTATGCACCTCTGCCCATGGACACTCTTGCATTAACCTAATGTAAAAATACATTCTAGAAAACATACTTTGAATAGAATAATGAGGTTTAGAATGAAGAAAAGATCTTTCTTTAGAATAAAAGAAAAGATCTTTTTAGCAACTTACACCAGCAGTCTGTGGACATTATCTTCATATATTGTGCTTCTGGTTTGGTCTTTTGTACCATATTCACCTTATTCCTCTCCAACCACTTTCACTTCTAAACTAAAATGGAACCCATACTTGAGACACTGAGAAAATTGTATTATGATAAATTTCCACTCATCACTGTAGGCGGCTTGAAAACAGCCTTCTAGACTGTATAGAACTTATTTGATGTGATGATTGACAGCGCTATGCAAGTAATACACACAAAATCATTCTGCACTTGTGGCAATTTCTGGAATAAGGTGAATAGAAACAAACCCTTGCCATTTAAAGTTTTATGGTATTCTCCCAACACGACATGCCAATGTATTACCTGCATTTGAATTTGTGTAGTTTGATGTATTCACTTCTGATGTCAGATGAGAGAAATATTGTCTCTTCTTTCTCAGGTAGTGTGAGTGTTTTGAGAGGTTCATGGAGGAAGTTCAGACAGAAAGTTGTAAGACGTTTTTGTAACTGTACATATCTCAGCTGTGTGCGCGGTGTGTGCATGCGTGTGGGTTTTTCTTTTTCAGATTTACGCCACAGGAGTTGCTCTCTTTTCTCCACAGGAGCCTGATTGAAGGATGGAGAGTCGGGACGGCGGGGTTCAGAGGGGTGGAGGTGGGGAGGAGGCGCCTGGGGAGGGGGAGGTTTACAGAGGGAGGCCTGAAAATGTGAACTTGAAATTTGGGACGAAAATCACTTCTTTTTCTGTGGATTTTCTTCTGAATATTTCTTCCTCTTGCTCCGTTTTTTCTTGCTTTCTCTAGGACTGCACAATATTTTGAAAGCTACATATAAATACATATGCAGTTTGATTGCACGTAAAGCGAGGACAAGGAGTACTGTTTGTTACAATGTTTAGTTGAATACAAAATCCTTGTAAAAACCATAGACTGTATATAGATGGACAATTCTGACCCCGCACCACAATTCAGCCTAATTGGGCATGTTTGGGGACGTTCTGCTCCAACTCACTTTGGCTCCCATTGACTTACTTCAAAATTTGAACTCTTGCTCAGTAAACAATTTCCGATCCAAATTCTGTAGTTTAAGGCTCTGTCTGATCCTGGTGTTTTTATTTAGTCTTTGTAAATCCGATTTGATCACAGCTGGGGGCAGACCGGCACTGCTCCTTTTGGGCTCTTTGTTTGCTAGTTCAATGCTCCCCCAAACTTGGCTCCAGCTTCCTACTCTAATGGGCTTCTTCCACGATAAGGCAATCACTATGTGTGACGGCAGTACTTGGTTCGTCCACTCCTACAGTCTATGGTAATAACATGCACATGATTTACAAAAGTTCACATCTACATTTTTGAATTAATTACATAACTTGTAATGCTTCCATTTCAGTTTGGTCTTCTGCTCTCTGTACACACGTTATAAAATGTGTTCAATACTGTGCAGTCCTTTGTGCCTATATCAACCTCTCTTTCTCGCTTCCTCTTCTGATTTCTGGCTTGCTTTCTTGCTTTTCTGTTTCTCCTCTCTCATCCTCTGACTGCTCTTTCTTTCTCTCCCTCTTTTTTCCTATGCTTGAGTAGAAGTGGACCAAAAAGGTAAACACTATATATTGTAGCATCTTGAACTCTCCTTGCCCCAACCCCACTCTCTCTCTGCTCTTCTGCTCTACTCTGCCATCTCTCTCCTCTGCCCTAGGACGTTGTTTCGTAGTCATGCTGGATGTTGCCCTTTTTTCCATTTCCTTATCCTTTTTTCCCCATATTATCCATCTCTCGTTGTATGGAAATTCGTCCTTTTATCCAGTTTTATCCAGGTTCTGCACTTAGTCTTCTTATCTTATCTCTTCTCTATGACAGTAGAGGAATAGTGGACGGTTGGACCATATTTAAAGCATGCCAAATAATGACAACATATACTTTTTCATATAATGCATACATGAATATATATCTGTTTGTAGCTTGTATAATATTGGAGGACATTCAGCATCAAATACGACATCATTTATTTTGATCGGACACAATTAAAATAGACCTCTCTTCTCCAATTACATCTGTGAACATTGGAATCCTTCTTTCTGCATATATGTAATGTCAGATGGTTCAATATTCTTCTCCTGTCTATAGCCTTCTCTCTGCTCTTCTGCACAAAACAGTCCACAAACACAGACAAATAAATGACAGCATACAAACACTACACAAACATAACTTTATAAAATCTTATACATTCCTCGCACTACTACTATCTTCTCTATCTTTGCTTCATTCCTTCTTGTCCAGTCATCCGCTCATGCTTATTTTCCCTTTTCTTCCCTTATAGGAAGAGCCCCTTATTTATCTTCATAGGAAAAATAAGACCAAATGTGTGTGACTATCCGTCTGGATGTGTGCTTATCAAGCACTGCTTCTCTGTGTGAATGTGTGTGCATGCCTCTCTGCATGCCAGTGTGAGAAGTACATACGAATCCATACAGTTATTGACATGTTGGTGGACCAATCGTGCTTGGCGTAAACTAACCTGCCCTCTCATTCACTTCAAGGCAAATTTAGCCCCGCCTTCAGCGTCCCTGACTCTACCTCTCACACTCTCAATCTTTTTGCACTAACTCTCATAAGCACACATGCTCAAACACAAGCCACACAAACACACTTTAATTGCAGTGCCCCAGTCACATTAGACATTAATCACACAATAACATGTGTGATGTCACACTTACATGTTCAAGCTGATTTTCTTTTCAAATTCAGGTGTTTTAAATTCCTCTCTTTGTCTCTTCTTTCTGTTTCTCAAACCTCGCTGCATCTGATTCATGACATTTTTCATGCATCGATCCATTTTCATCCTGCACCTGCCTTCACTGTCCACTCTCTCCTCTCTCCTGCTCCTCCTCACATCCTCCTCTTGACCCCTCCTTCCTCCCGGTCCCCAGTTTTCGTGTGTCCGGGCTCACTGCTCAGCATCGGGCCGGCCTCATCTCTGCTGGAGGCGGAGCATCAATCAGGGGCGTGGTGTAAAGACCCTCTGCAGGCTGGAGACCGGCTCTACGTCATGCCCTGGACACCATACAGGACAGAGGTGCTGTACGAGTACGCCTCGTGGGACGACTACCGACAGAACAGGGTCACCACCACTTACAAGTGAGTCAGGGGCATGAGTCTTCTGTGTGTTAGAATCAGTACAATCATCATTTCTTAAAGATGTATTCCTCAACTGCCCTGATGGCGGAATGCCCTCATTTAAATGTTGTTTGCCTGGGTATTAAACAGTGTGCCATGAAACTTTCATTTTACATTAAAACAAACTTCAAGTGACTGCAAGTTTACATCTATGGGGAAAACAGGGCATGTACGGTACATTTTAAATCAAACAAAGTCCAGCAAGAAGAAGTTATTAGATCACTTCTCAAAAACCACGACAGCTGAGGAATCCATCTCGAACCCCTTTGAAAATAATGACAATTTTTACTACATTATTATGTTGTATTATTTTGATTTTAATGTTTGGAGTAAGCCTGTTGCTATGAATTATGCATCCTATGTTATTTCGACTGTATTGCTTGTGCAAGAATGAACTGATGAGCTTCCAGCCTGATGAATTCTTAACGCTGCATGTTTTCAGGCTGCCGAGTCGAGTGGACGGGACTGGGTTTGTGGTGTACGATGGTGCTGTGTTTTACAACAAGGAGCGAACGCGAAATCTGGTCAAGTACGACCTCCGGACACGCATCAAGAGTGGCGAGGCTGTGGTGGTCAATGCCAACTACCATGACACCTCTCCGTACCGCTGGGGAGGGAAGTCCGACATCGATCTCGCCGTGGATGAAAATGGCCTTTGGGTAATCTATTCTACTGAAGCCAATAATGGACGCATTGTGGTCAGCCAGGTAGGAAGAAAAGAAAACAGATGAATGCTGCTGATAAGAGGAATAGGTCTTGAATTGAGCTTTTGTGCAGGTGAACCCTTACACACTGCGTTTCGAGGGGACATGGGCCACTGGCTTCGACAAACGCGGCGCCAGTAACGCCTTCATGGCTTGTGGGGTCTTGTATGCGGTGCGCTCGGTCTTCCAGGACGATGAGGGCCAGGCGGAGGGGCGGGTGGGCAGTGACATGGTGGTGTACGCCTATGACACCAGCAGAGGACAAGAGCTGCCTGTGCAAATCCCATTCCCCAACCCCTATCAGTACATCTCCTCAATCGACTACAACCCCAGGGACAACCAGCTGTATGTGTGGAATAACTACTATGTGCTGAGATACCCGCTCCAGTTCACACCTCCGCCACCCACAAAAGGTGAGATCAAAGGACACGCGTGATGCCTGTTGCCCATATTTAATATGAAACTATACCACACAGAGATGATTACATTATGTTTGCTACCATCAGCGATTTTGACCTAAAATGGATTAATAATCAAAAACAGGTTCATTGACTTCCTGTTCAAAGCTGGAGAGCTCATTAGACCTGCCCTCTGGAGGTGCATTTACAGTTAGATACTGTGAGTCACATAAGTCACTTCCCTTCTTTTGAAACTGTACAGTGACATCAGAGTCATATTTCATTGTGGCTTGCATCAGATTTGGTACTATCCAATTTCTGAAGTCAATGTAAAACCAACCCATAGTGTTTTACATTAGGTTTCTCAAGTTGTTTTAAAGCTGTATATGTATATATTATACCGTTATAACATCTTTTATCTAACTATTAGTTCGTGCATCATGAGAATGTAGTCAGCAATTAAACACATGTAGTGAGTTGATCTTCCCAACATTCTTCAAAGAGTGTTATCCATCAATTATGGTTGCTTATGCGATTCCTTGAGGGAAAAGATATGTATAAAACATTTAAAAACCCATAAAAATAAGTGTGTATGCAGAATTAGTAGTTGATAATTGCAAGTATAATTGTTCTTGAAGAAGTTTCTCTTGTTGATCCAGGCCCTCTGTCTTCACTGATGACCACGGTTCGCTCCTACACCACCACCGTCTCCTTAACCCCAGTGCAGCCCTCTGCCTCCCATCCGATCGGAGTCATAAACCGTGGGCCAATCGACCAGCGTCCCATCACGGCCATGGTTCCTTTGACACCCCGTCCTCCACTGCGTGTGCCCCTGGCCCCGGGAAGTCCGGGGCAGGTCGGCGGCTGTGAGGGGCGGGTTACTCAAGGTGTGCAGTGGCCACCCACCTTGAAGGGAGAGACAGTGGAGAGGCCCTGTCCCAAAGGTTCACTCGGTAAGAACCGTCTTAGCTGTGGGAGTGTTTGTTTTGATGTTTACTTTAGATTCTCCGTGACTTGCTTTAATATACTCTTTGAAACTCTCACTTTGACTTGGCTGCATTTGCACTTGAGCCCATCTTTCTGAAAATAAAACCTTTCATGTGTACTGTTGATAAAGTTACATTGATTGTACTCCTACATATTGGGTTAACTATATACAGTACTATATGTTATTTACAGAAAGTCACGTTGGTACTTCCCCATTTGTATTGTTGTCAATGTGAGTAAATCATAAACTACATACAATCCACTCTGACATAATGGACTTCAGTTCAGCATATATCTGCTTCATAACATTTTAGAGGCAGATAGTGCGACTTATATTACAACTCCCCCGTACAATGGGAAATAGAAAAAAACATCTGTAGTGAGGATTAATAAAGGATGTAGGCCTACTAATCTACACATAATGCATAATTTAGCATCGCCTATTTGTCATTAAAATGAAAACAGAAATACCAATGCCAATAGTATGAATTTTATATTGCTGACTAATCCTTCACTGAATCTGCTTTGTGCTAGCTCTAAAAAGCTGTCGCCTGTTGCTCTCTACAGGCATCGCTTCATACCAGTGTGTGTTGTCCCCCGTGGGCTGGAGCTCCCGAGGACCTGACCTTTCCAACTGCACCTCTCCGTGGGTCAGCCAAATCGCACAGAAGGTTCGTCACACTTTCCCAGCTTGCACCAAACACAAACACTGCTGCGCGAAGGCCGGGCCGCTGCCTGAGCCTGGCTTTTCTGCCTTAAATGTCAGAATATTTGACATTATGACGGATTCTTCCTTTGTGTAGATTAAGAGTGGAGAGAACGCAGCCAATATTGCAGGGGAGCTGGTGAACCTCACCCGGGGCCGGATCTATGCGGGTGATGTCAGCATGTCCGTCAAGCTAATCGAACAGCTATTGGACATCCTAGACTCGCAGCTACAGGCCCTAAGACCGGCCAATAAGGAATCAGCGGCACGTAATTACAACAAAGTAAATGATGCTCTTGACCTTTTCCATGAACCATAGGCAGAAATGTCATTGTGGATGGGTCTAACAATAGCTACTTTTCTTCTTTTCAGCTGCAGAAGAGGGAGCGCACATGCCGAGCTTATGTGCAGGTGCGCCATAAGGATTGATGCTCAGATCTATACTAACATTTATTGTGCTTCAAAGTACAATGTATAACTTGTTTTCTGTTTCTGTCGCAGGCTGTGGTTCAAACAGTCGATAACCTGCTCGGTCCAGAGGCTCTGAATTCCTGGGCCGATATGAGCAATAGTGACCAGTCGCGCTCGGCTTCACTGCTGTTAGACGCAGTGGAGAAGGGAGCGTTTTTATTAGCCAACAACCTATACGAGGGACGGTTCAGTGATCGAGCACCTAACATCGGTATGGGTTTTGTTCATATGACATAAAGCATTAAAAAAATTAGGTGGAAGATAAGATAACGTATCTTCTCAACATTTTTTTAAACTAGTTTTTACATGCAATTATTATCAGCTTTGGTCACATCTGGTTTTTCAGATCACCCTCATTCAGTCGATCTGCTCTCATTCTAATGTGTCAAATAGTGACTCAAAGAGCTCCTTCTTGCTAATATGCAAAAGACTTAAAAAAAATAAAAGTGGATAGTAGATGAAGACTGCATTTTGTAGTCTGTTCATTTTGATTTACAAAATTTGTTCTCTTGTATTGAAAAAAAAAAAGTCGGGGACCCCAGTGTAATCTAATCTTGAGGGGCTACCCAATAATTAGACCAATAATGTGCATGTGCAATATTTTGTTTTATTAAAAGCTTTAAAATACATTAATTAAATATATATGTAAACTATAAAATTGTTGTTTTTACAGATTTGGAGGTGTATGTATTAAACACAGAAGCAGACATCCAGGACATGACATTTCCTCATTCATATGACAGCGACAGCATCCTGCAGATTTCAGCACTGGCCTTGCAGCAATACAGCAACAATGGTTTGGGCTTCTACAAACCTCATCGTTATTGTGCCTATTTCATAATGCATTTCAACCTAGGAAACCCTCATTCTTCTGTCTGTGTTCAGGCCAGGTAAACTTGGTGCTCGCGTTGTATAAGAACCTGGGGACCTTCCTGACGACTCAGAACTCCACTTTGAGAATGGGGCTGGGTATGGGACAGAGCCCTGACGTGAGGAGGCGCAGTCTGGTGGTGAACTCCCACGTGATCTCTGCTTCTGTGCACAGAGGCTCCAACAGGGTCTATCTGTCCGAGCCCGTCATCTTCACCCTGAGACACCTACAGGTTTGTCCCGCAACCTCTAATAGTGTGCTGTATTTAGGAGTACGGCAATTACTGGTTTAAAGGGGACATAACATGAACATTTGTGTACACACTCTAAGCTGTTTTTAGAGCGATTCATGAATGATTGAGTTATTTTTACAATCATAAGGTGACAATCTGCCACCAAGCCCATCATCTAGGGTTTACGGTTTTACGGTAGAAGTTGGTAAATAAAGAGACAGCAGTTCGGCATCATTCTAACAATATGAAAAGCAAGTCATTGAATTACCACATCCGGTTACTTCCATATGTCGTCCTTTCACACCGAGAGAGTTTTGTGTGTGACAAATAAAATAAAACAAAATAGTGTCACCACATTACATAATTTTTTGCTATTTCTTTTGTGAATCTGTGATACAGTAGAAGATCCACCTGTCTTGTGTTGTCATTAATGAAACTTGATTACTGACGTTGCGTTTATCGAGGTCAGTAAAGGCATTCCACGGGACTGAATGAGAAAGTGCGTGGACTGGTTTTCTTTTATTACCGCTTTAGCTCTATCTAAGAACAAAATGTTTATTAATGAGGCACAGGTGTGATATCAATCATGGTATGTCTACAGGGGTTTGGTTTGGCTTTCTAACAGAAGGCTACTGACTAACTCCTTTATATAACCGTTTTCGATCCATGCCTGTTCTGTCGATTTATTCCATACAAGTGTTTCTGCCAGATCTCTGCACAGTTGAGAAGGTCATTGAGAAAGCAACCCAGTGAATATGAATATATGGGTGCGCATGGTTGCCACAGATTAATGGATATTGTACTTTCGCTAACGATGATGCATTGTGTTTTTATCTCTAAATGCATTCATCTAAACTAAGAACATTAGAGACTGTGTTTTACTTTATCTATTTCTTGTGTCTTTCATCTGTCTTTTGGCCAGACTTTCTTGAAAAAGCGAGTTTTATTCTCAATGGGATTCCCCTGGTTAAATCAAAGTTATAATAAAAGTATTAATGATAATAGATTAGAGTGTGATTAGAGTAGAGTGTGTGCTTTTTTATGATCCTTCTACCTCTTTGGGTACTTTGCACATAAAGGTGGTGTAGGATTTCAAGCCTCTTTAATGTGACACTCGTATCACAAATCAGCCTTAACTAGAAAAATGAGTAATTGCTTAAAATTTTTTGTCATTTCCTGAGCGTAGGTAAAAGCTTTTTTATTCCCACTGAATGCCCCATGGTATTCGGCTGACATTTCCTGAGAGGCTTAATGTGTTTTTCTGTCTCCATCCTGAAGCTGGAAAATCACTTTGGCCCAAACTGTTCTTTCTGGAATGCGTCGGGGGCATCGGGAGCCGGCAGGTGGTCCACACAGGGCTGCCGCTTGTTACACACCAACAACACCCACACCACATGCGCCTGTAACCACCTCTCCAGCTACGCCGTGCTCATGACCTACCAGCAGCCCGTTGTGAGTATCATGCGCAGTCATAGATATATCCAGTAATGTACCTGTAACTGACTGGTTTCTTTGGTCCAGTCTGGAGTTGGGGTTGAGGAGCTCCTCGTCAGTGTGGTGTCCTGGGTGGGCATCTCTGTGGCCCTGGTGTGTTTGGGCACTTGCCTCGCCACTCTTTGCTGCCAGGGGGCGCCATGGCACACCGACCACAGCACCATCCACTGCAACCTGTGGGCCAACCTGCTGTTCACTGAACTGCTGTTCCTAGTGGGAGCAAACAAGGCCGAATATACAGTAAGTGAGATATCATGTACTGCAAACCGAGGACCTTTTTACTGGTGCTTACAGTGCCACCTTACAAATAGGTTGAATTTATTTGGATTTTAGTACATTTTAGTACATATTGTCATATGTTCTTAGATCAAAATGAATATCAGTATTGCTGCGTAATAGTTTGTTGTTAGACTGCAGATGTGAACCAATTGCTGTATAGTAAGTAAGTAAGTAAGTAAGTTTTTATTTATATACCGCCTTTTCACTGCAGATCTGAGTCTCAAAGCGGTTTACAATTGTTAATTATGGGCATTTGTCTCTCACTCCACACAGAGATGGGAGCGGGGTCGCCAGTACAGGAGGCGCATGCCAGAACTATTGTACATATTTTTAGTGGTAGGGGAAACCGGAGTACCCGGAGGAAACCTACGCAGACACGGGGAGAACATGCAAACTCCACTCAGAAAGGCCCTGGTCCGACCGGGATTCGAACCCAGGACCTTCTTGCTGAGAGGCGAGAGTGCTATCCACTCAGCCACCGTGCCGAGTATACAAGAAAATGCAATATTTTGTTGATTAAGTGGAAACTGAGCGAGATGACAGACAACTGTTCAGTTGAAGATGTCGCTGTTTCATTTTTTCAGTCAAATTAAAGCAAACAATACTCTGTATGACAGTTAATCACATGATAGTTTTCACAACATGATTGTCGTGAACACAATCTCCCAAAAGCGATGAGTAATATTCTCTTCATTGAATTGAAGAATAAGAAGAGAGTGTACGAGGTTACATGTTTATGCTGATATATGCTGCTGTTATGTGGATTTGCAGATCCTGTGCTCCATCATCGCTGGCCTGCTGCACTTCTCGCTGCTGTCAATCTTCTGCTGGTTGTGTTTGGAGTCAGTGGAGCTTTATCTCCTGCAGCGAGAGGTGTTTGAGGGAAGAAATTCACGGAGGAAATACTTCTACCTCTGTGGATACTCCATTCCTGGGCTGGTGGTGGCTGTGTCAGCTGCCATCGACTTCAGAGGATACGGATCTCAAACTGCGTAAGAAAATCTTTTACATTTGGCTTTTCTGATGCTTTCACGAAAATTTGAGTTTAGTATCAACCGCAGACGGAGCCCATTGATCTGAATGGGTGTCAATACCCACTGGAGGCTTACAACTTAATATGTGCGACTATGGCATGTTATACCTCATATTAAAGCTAATTTCCTCCAAACTATTCCATTTAAATAACTTTTGGTCCAGTTCTGTTTCAGTCCAAACATAACTGTACACATTTTCTTAAGTATTCATTCATTCATTCAAAGATTGTATAGCCAAATCCATATTGAATTAAAGTAAAAAACACTTCCTTGATGTAAGTAACCACAGGTGCAAAAGAGAAGCCCTCCACAAACAAATTAAACACAACATTTTAGTATCTGCATTTTCCTCTCCTCTTCCTCATCCATCTCATCAACATTCATTTAGGCATTAGTTAAAACGATAACAAGCACATTAGATTTTATAGCCGTGCATTCTATAGCATATGTATAACAAAAGCAACATATTGACAATTGCAGTGTCGCCATATTATCAGTATTGTGAGACGTATCGTCAGAGACCTAGTGATTCCCAACCTATACTTAACCAGATCTAAAGCCAGGGCAAGCTCTAGGCGCAGATTAATGTAAATATTCATTATACCTTCTATAATTAAAACTACCTACATTATCTTTACAGCTTCCATATTAATATCCAGTGTGAGTCAGTGCTGGTTTTCGGTTGGAACATGACCAGTATTATGTCACTGATGTGTCTCATACAGATGCTGGCTGCGGACAGATAACTACTTCATCTGGAGCTTCCTGGGACCTGTGGCCGTCATCATCACGGTAATAAACTGCTGGATAATTGTTCTTCAATCGTTTGTATCGACATGTTGTGTGATAAAGCATCTCGTTTGTGGTCCCAGCTGAACCTGGTCGTCTTGGTGATGACCTTACATAGGATGCACAGCACGGCGGCGCTCAAACCAGACTCCAGTCGCCATGACAACCTGAGGTTGGTGGCCGCCGCACACTGTTCTGAATGTCTTTTACACAGTTTAGTCAGACATAGGGATGTCAATATCCTATCAATAAATGAATACTACAAATATTATCCAAACTATGCTCATTTCAGAGAAGAAAAGATCAATACTGGAAAAAATTACAAACAGGATAAACAGGGTGTGTCAAAATAGGAGAATCTCTGAGCAGTTTATGAATGAAATGTGAGCTACATCGTCACTAGTCTAAAACGTTGTGGTGCCATTAAAAGTACTATAATGTAGTATATATAGTATAATTGAAGCTCCTTTTTATAATCAAAGATTATCACTGTGGCATCAAAATTGATATTGAGTTTATTCTTTGAAACAAAATGGAGTTTGTAATTTCTGTGTTGTGCAAACTACCCAGAACAAAAAATGTAAAAAAAACGTTTAAAAAACTGCTTCTTTCAAGCCTCCTCTGAGTCACCCTGACGGGTCAAACCAAGCTATAAATAGATCATTGTTGAAACGCACATTTGCGGAAAAAAGCAGAAAAAGGTTGATGTAACTGTACATCGCAGAACCAAAAAATTGTTATACTGTATATTATTATCTATGCTAACATTTACAGTGTATTAACATCGGTGTCATTTTAGTTTTGTGAAAGCACTACTTGTCATGCTCAGGCACATAATTAATGAATGAATGTAAATGAAAACAAATAAATGACATAGCTCATTGCGATACAGACACACAACAGAGACTTCTTGTCATGAGTTCTGTTGTGTATTGTTACTGTATCTCACTATTGTCTGCTGTGTCCTCTCTCAGGGCCTGGGCTGTCGGCTCTCTGACGCTGCTCTTTCTGCAGAGCGTCACTTGGTCCTCAGGGCTCATGTTCCTGTCCGCTCCATCGTTGTTACTGGCTTACCTGTTCTCTTCCCTCAACACGGCTCAGGCCCTACTCATCACCATTTTGCACTGCACTCTGGCTCGAAAGGTCAGCCCCCTAGTGGCAGGACAAGCCTTTATTGGACTCATATTTGCGACAGTATGTGACATGTGTTTGGTGTGCAGGGCCAGAAGGATTATGGCCGGTGCCTGCGTTTGTCCCAGTGCTGCGTCCCGTCCACCGGCAGCTCCCCAGACTCTGTCAAAGGCAGCGCTCTGAGGTCCAACAGCCGCTACACCAGCACCCAGAGCCGCAGAGCCACGGCCAATAGACAGGTGTTTTACCACTCACGGCACGTCTGCTTTTGTTCTGCTCGGTCTGACTCTCATCTGACCTTGAAAAAATATCTGTTTCAGAGTCGCATCAGGAGGATGTGGAACGACACGGTTCGCAGACAAACTGAATCCTCCTTTATTGCAGCGGATGCTAACAACACACCGACACTTAACCGCGGTACTTGTACATATTTGATCATATTCAAATCAGAACGCTCTTTCCCATAAGTTGTATTCAATAGTGTTATTTATTTTGACTTCATTCTAGCGGCTTTAGGAAATCATTTCCTCACTAATCCAGTGCTGCAGACTCATGCTGGGGCTTCTCCCTATGACACGATGTTAGCCCAAGGATACAATCAGCCTTTCACCTCCACAGGTAACTCTCAGTTTAACTGTGACAGAAGCTTTGCTGAATTCCCTTTTAGCTTTGGCAACTAATGATGTATTTAGGCATTTTATTTTGTTATATGTTTTAATTTAGTTAGTTAATCGTTACTATGTTGTAGTAGTAGTATTTACTCAAATATTGCTTCTGTTATTTTGACACCTGCTTTCTCTGTCCCCCTGTTTTTACCCGGACTACTAGGAACCTTCAGAAACAAGCCGAGTATGAGCTCTCTTTATTGTGCTCATTCAATCAATCATTGAGCGCCACATTTTTGACTTCCTATCTGACAATTGCTCTTAGTAAATAATAATGCACAGGCCATAAACATTAATCAAACATTTCATCAAACAAGATGCTTTGTTCCACATTCCAAGCAGGCACACATTGTCGCTCATTCTCTCATGACTTGTGCATGCTACATGCACATGTGCCTTGTTCCTCTCTGAACTTTGTCTTTTCTCCAACAGAGGGCGGTGTTTCCCAGGGTCAGGAGTCTTGTGGCCTGGACAGCATGTGCCTCAATGGTGGCTACACTCCAAACACTTTCACCCTCCATGGCTTAGGGACGACCCCTGGGTCTCGAGCCGGAGTGGTGGGAAGCACTGACCTCCTCAGAGACGGAGGTGTTGGGATGGGGGCGGATGACATCTCTCCAGGCCTCCTGACCCCCCACGGAGCATCTGATCTAAGCAGTGGGACCGGGATGAGGCGGAATCTGTCCGATGCAGCAGCTCTGGAGAAGATGATCATCTCAGAGCTGGTACAGAGCAACTTGCGGCCTTCTGTGCCCATGCCTGTTCCCCCAGAACGATACGGCAGCTTAGCCCGGCCCCACCACGACCGGGCGACCATCACACACTCGTCCACTCTCACCCGCCACGCCCCACCGCCTCAGGACGCCTGGGCCTCCACCATACAGCCCACATCTCGCCCAAGCATACAGGAGTGGACAAGGCACCCTACAGATCAGGAGCCTCATCCTCCACCACGAGGCACACAAGACCTCATGACTGGCCCCCGTGTTCAGGATGGCTGGGCACGCGGGACGGGGGACACGGAGAAAGAAGACAGGTCTCAGTTGCAGGGGACTCTGGGTCGCCGAGGAATGCCAGACAAACAGTTAGTACGCCCCCCTGAGGTGCAGGCCCGACCCTACTCTACTATAAGCCGCACACCGGGAACACTGTCCCGCCACCGCAGCACTGTGGAGTCCAGTGGTGGGACGGACCGAGAAAGGGAGCGGGAACGCTATCGGGACCGTCCTCTCCCACCCCCTCCACCTCCTCCGCCCCAGGAGTCTGAGCCGCTCTACAAAGCTCTAGAGGAGCCGCTTCTTATGAAGCAGAGGGAAGTGGATTCCTGGAGGGCCCCTGACCGGGACAAGGACGAAACCTATCTATTAAAGCGAGATGCCATGGTGGAGGAGTGGAGAGGGGCTTCTGAGCGCAGGCGGGATGAGTCGTTCAGCTCTCAGAAGAGCATGGAGGACATGGCTGACTGGGGCTCTGCCGTGAACAGGGCGCGAGAGGAGCGCGACTGCAGGCGAGAGGTGTGGCGTGGGGCACCCGACACAGAGCAAGAAGAGACATTTATCACTCAGAAAAAAGATTTTGGGATTGAAGTTTGGAGAGGTGGCTTGGACAGGGAGAAAGAAGAGCCCTTTTTAAAGGACAGAGAAGGTTGGAGAGGCGGCGTGGAGCGCGATGGCGAGGCGCAGAAGGACCGAGCACTCGATGTATGGAGAGGAGGCGTGGACATAGACAGAGAGGACGCATTCATGTTTGAGGGCAAAGACAGTGGGGCTGATGGAAGGAAGCGGGGCAGAGGCTCACTGCGTTACCATGGAGACAGAGAGGACTCAGAGGGCAGCTTCACTTTACCCTTGACTCCTGACCTGGACCTTGACGCTGACGCCTCTCCAATCTATACTCGCGACTCAAACCCATCGCCGCTGTATCCAGGAGAGCGGCGTTCGCCTCCGCTCAGCATCTTCCCTCGCAGCTCACCCCCAACCAACATCTTTGTCCCCAGAGACGCCACCTCGCCGCCCAACAATCTGTACTCTCGTCACTCCCCGCAGGTCTACAGCCGCAGTAGCTCTCCCCCGCGCTTCTACACCCGCACCTCGCCACCCACCATGTCCTACCCTGACAGCAGCCCTGAAGGACCAGAGGAGCTCAGTCCCACCGGTGGGCAGCCGCAGAGACCTGCCCTAGAGCTCCCCTACAGCCTGGGACGCCCGCCACTGGGGCCGCGGCCGAATCACCTGCAGACCTTCTACCAGCCCCCTCCATTGGCCTCAAATGGTGATGCAGTGTACACGCCAGAGCCCACATCGGAAGGAGAGGATGGACAGATGCAGCGGGTGACGAGTCTGTGACTAGGGCGGTGGTGATTGGGGCATAGAAACAGGCAGGAGGAAGAACGTGAAATTATCATTTACAATTAAATTTTATCTGAACAGTGGCTGCGTTGTGCATAGACTCTTCATAAAGATAGTTTGATGTTATGGAGTCCTATTCTATCTCCTGATCAAAAACAGTTAAAGGACTGTTTACATAGACTTTCAATTAGTTCACTAAACTATAATATTGCATCTACAGAACATGTCATATAGGAGAGTAATGCATACTCCCACATGTTAGTAATGACACATGTTAAGTCACAATGAGAAAAAACTCAAGTGATTACCCACTGGCAGATGTTTATCTTTACGTAAAGTCTATGGTTTAGTGCAATGGAAAAAGAGAATTTTTATTTGATGGCTCCTTCCTGCTTCTATCTCCTGATCACCACGAGACTTTCCCCATTTCATCCTTAGTCCATTTTTTAAAGACTGATTCATGTTGAACCCAAGTCCTCCTCCTCCTCCTCCTCCTCCTCCTCCTCCGCTGTGTCTTCCCATCTCATCGGTGCGTTCTACTTACTAGCCCATCATTGTCTTCAGTTTCTTCTGGCTCATTGGCTAGTGTTGCCCTTCCCTGTAGCAGAGCGGTGTGTCAAAGAAAAGCACTTGTGTGTTGCCAAAAAAACCTTTCAGAGAACATGTGCATGACTTTTAGTGGCTTTTCCAGGCTGCATATTATCGGGAGGAAGTGTGCCTGTGAGCATGAAATGTGTGAGTGAATGGATGAGCGATTGCGTGTAAATAAACCATTCTTGTATAATTAATGTATCACAGTGAAGCATTTTATCAATATACTAAAAGGGGGCGATTATACTCCTCCTGCTACGGATTTTGAACTGTTTCGACCGATCCCATCTCCCCTCAAGGCCAAAAACTTTTGCCGCCGCACACTTGGAACTGTTGACATGAACTTTGCAACTGAACTCCAGACTCCAAAGCCAATCATGTTATACACCTCAAAACTTTTCTGCAACCGACCCTGGTCCCTGTAAATATCAGCCCCCAAGTGTTCTGATTGTCTTGTATTGCTATTGAAGTTCAAGTAAACATGTGAAATAGACGTTTCTCTCTGGTTTTGTGAATAGTTAAAAGGTAATGGCATTTGATAGAAGTGTTCGCTTTACATCCTGTTGCAAAATGCCTGAGCTCAAGTATAAACACTTCTAAGATTTAACTGGAAAACAATGAAGTTATTGAAATTTCATATTAAAAGTGCCACTACTTAAGAAATATGTTGCTAGAAGGTGGATGTGCAATATCTTTCTCACTCAAAAGTCTGCATTGTTTTAATTGTGTTTGACTTTGGGGATAATAAACAATTCTTTTTTATGACATTTTCTTTGCCTGATCAGCCAAGAGTCAAAGCTTTTGTAGCCCTGTTTTGTGTCCGGACTAAGCAACGACAGAGTTTGATTATTTCAGATGGATCCAGTATTCCTTTGGATTACATAAAGGAAACTCCAACACGAAAAATACAGTCTTTTTGTTTTGTTCTATCAACACGTACACGACATCTGAATTTGGGCTGAAACCTGAACAAAAACCACTGGAACCAGCTCAAATTACAACAAATAAGTCATTGTGATTGTTTTATCTGTTATTTAACAATTGCACTATAGTTGAGTGGTTAGCACTTACTCATCCTACAGTAGAAAGTCCAGGGTTCGATTTCACCTACAGACAGAACCTTTCTGAGTGGAGTTTGCATGTTCTCCCCATACTTGTGTAGGTTTCTTCAAGGTGCACTGGCTTTCCCTACCATTAGCTCTTCTTTATAGCCAGGATTGCCTTTATAAAAGACATGTTGAAATCTCAGTGGGACTTTCTAGGTTAAATACAAGGCAAATTAAATATTTTCCCTGAGAGACAAATGGCGCTGGTTTTTTTTTTTATGACCACTAGTTACAGCACGATCATTCAAATGAAGGTTCAAAACATCTAATTTTGTCAATGAACCTGAATTGTACATTGCAATAGTAAACATAACAAAGTCTAATTGAAAAAAACGTTTTCATTTATTGAATGGTTTCTAAAAAATAGCACAAATACATCTATTAGGATAACTCATAATAATGTTACGTGTGCCTTGACCTTTTCTTCAATGACATACATTCACGGATTATAAAAACTATAAACAGACAGTACGCTATAGAAAATGTTACACAAAACCTAAAGTGCTTTACAGAATCTTCACTCAGTGCCCTGTACAGGTGGCTTATTCTTTGTCCCTTTTTATAGTTTTACATTACAGTAGTGTGCAAAGGATGATGAAAGGTAAACATGCAGGAGAACAGGTGGTCTATGTAAGATTTCTGTGGTACTGAGCGCTGCTGATCTTATCATAATGGAGAGAAGTGTCAAGACCTTATCTCTCTGTCTACTCTTGATTGTGTGAGTCAGGCCTGAGTCAAACGTATGTATGTTTTGTCTGCTTAATAAGAAGTGGGCGATACTGACAGAAATAAATACATACCTAGAAATATACCCACACCTTTTTTGAAACAACTAAAGTGCAGAAATACTGTATCTCTTCACACATGTATTTGAAAGTTAGAAATGTGAAAGTTCAGTTCAAATCCATTTTTCAAGTTTCCATTATTTGACATACCTCTCACTTCTATTCATAACAAAATTAACTCAAAAATTCCCTCACGTCATTCATCAGTATGTTAGCTTGTGTAGAGTTGAAAAAACTTAAAATAAAGGAAAATGTCATTCAGCCTTGAACTGGACGTATAGGTGTTGGCAAACTTCATGTCAATACAGTAAATCAATTGTTGCCTCTTAAAACCAGATCAAGAGTCTTGAGCTGGACTAAATGTTTTGTGGCACCATGCACTTTGTTCAATAACTGAGGTATGTGGCTTTTCTTCACAGGAAACAGTCTCACATTCTTCACATTTCCCCGTCTCTTCAGACCAGGTGGTGGTGGTGGGGGGGTTGGTGAGGGGGGTTCAGCAGACAGTGTGCTGAGGCGACACAGGACTGTCCAGGGGAGTTTCACTGGGGGAGAGCGTTGAGCTGGAGGTCTTAAACATGGACGAGATGTGGAACGCCTTGAAAAGACAAATAAACGTCGTAAGGCTCAGACCGTGACATTACAGACAGAAAAATAACCCAAAGACTGACCACCCAGTAAGCAGTGAGCGCCCCCTGCATGTGGCCCGTCAGCACGTCGGAGGGGTGGTGCCTGTAGTCGGAGATGCGGGTGAGCCCAGTGTAGACGGCGAGCATGACGAGAGTGAACTGAAGCATCGGCCGCAGCAGCCGGGCACTGCGCCAAGTGAACCGCGCCTGCAGGTAGAACTACAGGAGTAGAGGGGGGAAAACACTTACTTTTGCAGTCAACCACAACTCTCTACAATAAATTCTGAACTCCACTAAAGCCCACTGATCCAATCGTGTTCGGAAATGTTTAATATGTTTCTAATGATTCTCCAGATGATAGTATTTCGACTATGTTAGGGCAATACTTCAAAATGTGCAGTATCTAGGTCACTGTCGAGGCTAAACTTTGGCACAAGCCTGACTCTTCAGACTCACATTTGTCAGAAAGTACGGGGTCTGGCTGTTTAGGGTAAAAGCTATTTAAAAGCTATAAGTAACTCCCAATCCCTATTTTTGAAATTACTCTCCCGTTTTTTCTCCCACATCAGACACAAATGTTTTTATTTAGAGTATCCTATCTTTATAGATTGTAGATTTTACCACTGTATATACTGTATGCTTTTTCTCAGATCAACCCTGTCCCAAAGCACTGCCATTGAACTCCTGATTCCACCAAGACATACATACAGCCCTGTCCAGTAGACACCTATTGGGATGCGATATGCAGATTCAAACGCACAAGGCTTTATCGAACACAATAGAGGAGCAGTGAGGCGAGGTCACTCTCCTCTCACAGGCAACAAAGACCGCTCTGTTTGTGTCCATTCAGATCTCCCTCCTCCTGCTGTCGCTGGTTTATCTCTGTGAAGATGACTCTTATTTATTTGTGAATCCATATGGAGAGATTTTGCCCTTACAAGTGAGAGATGCTGTATGCCAGAGTTTTGTGATTGTGGACTAAAAGATGAGAAGTGATTTAAGATACTCACAGCTAAATAGAGCAGTGTGTACATGGCAAAGGAAGCATGACCAGAGAAGAAGGACTTTCTGAAACAACAGGAAGATTATGTTAAAATCAAACAATGTATGCAACACCTCCAATGCGGAATTGCAGATTTTCTTTTTCTATAAAACCACAGGCCCCATATGTCTGTAAAATGAAGATTATTCAAGGATTCCAAGATGCTTTTGGCTTAATGTTTGTTATTTGTGATTTTGATAGATATTTGAGCCACTATCCCACACACTAACCCTAACCCTAACCCACACAGAAATATAATCATGTTTTCAGACTCTGGTGATAAAAAAGGTTGAAACCATATCAGGAATCTTCATCAAAAGAAATGATTAGTGATTCTGGTTCTAAGGCTTTTTATTAGACACTAAATATATGCTTTTTTTCAATGAGTCACTTGCGCCACTGGTCCTACCTCCGCATCCACCCTCTATAAAGCAGCATGTGGATGAGGATGGGAAAAAGGTAGACATGGTTTCAGGCACAAATGTTTCACGCTTTCTATGTCAGCTTTTGGAAGGTTCTCTGAATGTGCTGGCCCTGAATATTGTGGCTGTGGCTGTCAAATGCCACTGATAACGATGATAAAATAGAAAACGTCATACATGTGTGTTAGTGTGAAATAAACTCAAGAATGACCTTTTGACTTTTATATGTAGTATTGTGTCCGAGTTTCTGAGTGGGGTTTGCCTATTCTCCTCGAGTGTGCTCTGGTTTCCTCCAGGTGCTCCAGTTACCACCCTACCACCTAAAACTCTAAATCTAAATCGGCCTTTTCTGATTCAATATGGTTTTTGGATTTATGCTTGATGTGATATGGGTTGTGAGACGCTTTGTGTTGCCTTGTGTAGGAAAGGCAATCTACAGATAAAAGTTGATTGATTGATTGATTGGTTTGAAATAAAATGGATAATATGTAATAAAATAGGTTACTTCAGTACTCTTCATACTGTCAGCAGTTTTGGACCCAGTTTAAACGGTTTTCTTGGTTTAACTCAAAACTAAACCAGATGTAAAATGGATTGGACTCAGCAGTTGTTAATGTCGATTTATCCAAAGAACATAAAAATTGAATAGGCTAAATCCAATACTGCCTCGCAAGAAATAGGCCTTTAAAACATAAAAAAATTAGTAAATGTGGCACTATTCACGATTGTGGTAATAAACAAGTGTATTTATGAACATTCAGGCAAGAAACTGACCTTTATTATCTCATCAAAGACCATCGAAAAATGTGACGTATTCATATAAACAATGTATTGTGAAAAGGTATCAGAAGCAAGGATTTACCCTTTGGTTTATAGATATTACAGTGACGTTTCTGCCTACTTCCCCATGCCTCTAACCATTTGTGACCACAGCTCACCTGGCCTCCTCCTCCAGACGATGGTCAGGCTGGGGGCAGGTCACAGAGGCCACATAAGTTCCCAGAGTGCAGTTGAGTGATGCATATGTGACGCCGCACACAGACAGGAAGTGAGGCCTGAGTCGCCCTACGCTCAGCTTGGCCATGTTGGTCAGGGATTGGCCGATGCAGCAGCCGAATAGGAAGCAGCCCAGTTCTTTGTAGAGGCAGGACACATACACGTTCCTGATGAAGGCTTTGGAACTCACTCCTCGAAAACGCACGCGATAACACTCTCCCAGCGCAATCTGGTGAAGAGAAATATCACGAGATAGATTATGTCTGGAACAAAGGTGAACCAGGGATAGAAAGCCTGGATACAATGCACTTTGGGTACGATTTAAAGTTACAATTATATATATATATATACATGCTCTAGGTTGTCAGTAGTTTGCTAATACAGGAAGGGCTAAGGACAATGGTGATGATCCAGGACTTAAGGACATTTATGGACATCCGTCCCCCTATGGACCAGTGGTTAAATTTTGACCATGTAACGTAATGCGTCTGTAAAGTATTGTGGTGAGGATACTACACAGGACACTCACTGTGAGGCCGGTAATGATGATGCCTCCAGAGATCAGTAGCTCGTCTGGGATCACTTCCCTCTGGAGGTATGGGTACGTGATGCTGGGGTCTCCACAGATGAAGCCTCTTTTGTACGGACTCACCGCCTTGAGCTCACAAGCAAAGAATGGGATGGAGGCTGGTGATAGAAAGGAGAGGGAACACTTTCAATAAAGTTGAGGTTTGTACCAATAGAGAGAAAAAAAGAGAATGTTAACTGTCCACATTTCATAAGAAGCGTCTCATTATGTTTCTTTAGCCCAAAGTGCACCCCTCTGAGAGGTGTAAGCCCTCACTCACTTTCTTTGTTTTAGTTTTAAGGAGAAGCCTCTTGAGATGAAGCATCTTGTTTTTGAGCTGTCTTTACTTACAAACTACAGATAGTAAAACATGAATAAAGTTTAAAAAAACTTCAAGTCAGAGAAAAGCATGCCACATTGTTGAGGTCTTCAGTTAATTAATTGATTCACAGGAAATTATTCAGAGGGGTTAGACGCAAAGTGGAAGTTTTGCAAAGTTGTGGTGCATGCATGGGAACATTCTCTCTGGAAAACGTTCATTTTGACAAATACCAGGAATGTAAGGGTCAAAACACTGCTCCACTGGGACCATAGTCTCACAACACTCCCGTTAACAGCTCAATACAGACTTGATTAAAATAGCAGAGCACTGACAGAGACCCACATTTAACTGCGCATGTGCCCTCTGTCCCGTTATGTTGATGAGGGAAGAAAAGTAGGTTGTTTGTGACTCTAACAACAAAAGAGCTGCAGAGGAGCAGCCTGGGCCAGCCTCACACTGTCCCAGGACCGTTCTGTTTTGCATGCCTGAGTACAGCGGAGAGAGTGAGAAGGGGGATCATCACAAAGAATAACTTCATATATTTACTGTTTCCAATAACAAACACACAAGTAAGTAAGTAAGTAATATTTATTTATATAGCACCTTTCACAGACAAAGGTCACAAAGTGCTTCACAAAAATACAAATATAAATAAAAGTACATTTACATTTACAATCACAAAACATGGTGGTCATAAAACAACCCCTTTCCCACTGGAATTAAAAATTACATATGGAAATCAACACATGCTCAGGATGGGCTAAAGGCCACAATGCAATGACTCTATCTTGATGCTTCTAAATACAGTCCAGCCACATGTAGCTTATTTAGTATAGGCCACCTGATTTTATTCCCCATGGCCCAGTTCTGCCCTGAGAACTGAGGGTTGTCATGGAAACTATACAGACCACCTGGAACTAAACCCACCAGGATCAGGGCATAGAAGGGCACGCTGCTATTGCAAATGAGCTAAACAAGTTTAACTGATTAAGGAAAGACTCCAACTGTAAATTAAGTTAATTGTGTAGACACGTTCTTATATCAGCATTCTAATGAATCTACACAACTATCATCTGAGGTCAAACTGTCAAAGGTCTCTTTTCTTCTCCTGGAGACCCAGGTGACTCATCAAATGAAATTAAGGCAACATAAACCCACAATCTATTATGCATGTATGAGAGCACACAGTTAAAACATGCTATAGTTGTATGCATGTGAGTCCAAACACATGTATTTCATTTGTGGACGGTGAACTATACTGGTACATCTTTTTCGCTTGGAGACTCTTGTTTTTAGGCTATAGCAAGGCAAAGATGTAATTGTATGGTCTAGATAGATCTGTCTGGGTTCCATATGTGCACGTTACTATTGTTAGTAACTTTTAGAATTATGTATTTATTAATGTATGCATGTAATTCTATCTATCGAAAAAAAAGACCAGATAAATGTCCCTGTTCTAATTCAATCACATCTCATCATCAAACAATATGGAAAAGACTCACCTAAAAAGAGGCACAGCAGATCCAATCCGACCAGAAGTTTACTTTTGGATAAAGTTTCACCAGTCGTGATCTCCAGGAGTTCCTTTTCCCCCGCGCCAGACTCCAGTCCCATCCCTGCCGCTGCTTTGAGTTGCCGGTCGGGGTTGCTGGGGATGGTGACTGTGGCGCTCGCTGAACCAAAGGCATCCAACATCACGACTGAGTTCAGAATGTGCAACAAGTTCTGGTGCAAAGCTGTGCGCCTGTGTGGAGTCAGCTCAGAGATGTACACATGCTCACGATAGCTGTCACACTTTTATAGTAGTGGCATTGAATTCCCATTGTATGTGTCAATGCTGGTAAAGTTAGGAGCTACGCGTCTTGCTCCATCTCCAGAGTGAGCGGGACTCGTCCGGGCTGGTCCTGCGCCGCCGTCACTGCGCAGCTATGCCAAACGTGAGGGAAAGTGAATTGCGAAAGTCCCCCAGGCTCCCACCTTCTTTTCAAGGACTGTAATTATTATTCCCAACAAACGCTGGGTCGTATATGCGCAATGACGATGTTGTACTCAATGTACTGTATTCACACCAGTGCCGGTAAGATCTTTATGGAGGCCCCGGGCAAACATTAATCAGGGGGCCTTGCACAGTGTATAATGTGGAAAGAATATGCAGGTGTGATTTCATTCAAAATCAGAAAATAAATTATTGGTTTTATTGTTTAAAAATAAAAATATATCCATATTCTTTTAAAATGTGGACCAATTGGATTAGTCTGAAATATAAATAGATAATAAGACAAGGCAAGGCAAGTTTATTTGTATAGCACAATTCATACACAAGGCAACTCAAAGTGCTGAACAAAACAAGGTAGTATTAAAATCATAAATAATCACAGTACATTAAAAAGAAAGATAAAAATATAAAATCCCTCAGTTGTATGCACAGCTGAACAGAACTGTCTTTAACCTGGATTTAAACATTTTCAGAGAAGAGGCCTGTCTCACATCTTCAGGAAGACTGTTCCAGATTTTCGGAAATGCAGCCTCCCCAATGTTTAGTCCTGACTCTGGGCATTAACAGGAGTCCAGTCCCTGTGCTCCTCAGAGTCCGGGCTGGTTCATATGGGACTAACATGTCACTAATATATTTTGGTGCGAGGCCTTGGAGAGACTTGTACACAAGCAGAGCTGTTTTAAAGTCTATTCTCTGAGCCACAAGAAGACAGTGCAGAGACCTGAGAACTGAACTAATAATAATTGTACTACAATGAGATGTTTTGTCTTATTTTGTGGTTAATATGAATATCTGACGGTTGCATAATGTGGCATTTCTACACTTTTGTACACAATTCACCAACCATCACCATCATGTATTATTTATATCCAACAACTTTAGAGCGAGTAAAGATTAGAGTATATACAAGTACCATGTAGAGTTAGATTGTCTGTATTACTTTCCATATTCAGTATTGTACTGAAGGAATATTTTACCTCTGGGCAGAGATTTTGATGACACATCCAATGAATGACACACTGTGTTACACTTCCCTCTGACAGCAGTAAACCATGAAGTCAATCATCATGATAATTACACATTACCAGGATTCAGACATAGTACAACGTTGGGAAATATTCTTAATCAAAATATTTGTGGAATGTTTATAACTTGTAGTGCTCAAATGTTCATAAAGGAACCAAAGATCTGGGTTTGCCCTGAAGCACATGACTACAACAGTACTTCTTTAAATTTGTTATAGCAAGACTTCCTATTCTTCTCCAATCCAAGCTCCTCCTTTTTTGTGTTAACATGATATTTGAACCAATCAAATTAAACTTGCTTTTTTTGATTGATTTTTTCAACTTAGCTCAGACCTACGTGGTGTATGTATAAGGTCTGATATACTGTACATGGCAAGTGCAGCATAATGATCTTATGTTCAAACACACACACACACACACAACACAAGACAAGACACACACACACACAAGACACACACACACAACACAAGACAAGACACACACACACACACACACACACACACACAACACAAGACACACACCCATACACTCCCTGACCATACACATCCCATTTCTCTCTTTGAGGGCATCACTCTCTTTCTTCCATATACTATTTACTATACTATTCCATATATATTTTATTAAATATAAAAGAAAAAGGCTGCATAGGCTATCATATGAGCCCCAAAAGTTACCAAAAGAAATAATAATTATCTTGTGCGCATAAGATAAATATATTATTTATTTTGGGAACTTTAGGAGTTCCTTAATATCACTCCATAGTGTATCATCAGAGGAAAACCCTAAATCGTTTCAGATTCCAAACACAAAAACATAACAAACATAGAAAAACATAATCAAACACAGACAAACGGACGAAATACAGTCCAATTATGAAAAACAGACACCAGTGCCCTCTGGCTCCTCAATCCGGTTTTCCCGTGACACTAAAAACATAGCAATAGCAAAAGTCCTAATGACATAACATTTACAGTCTATGGTCCTGACCAAGCCGAGCAGCATCATCTGGAGATGGGTTAATTAGATGGATTAAATGCAGAGACCACATGTCCTCTGCATTAAATACCTTACCCAAGTATTTCTAGAAACATTAGAACTAATCTTACTAATCTTGATTAAAGGAACTTAATGCTTTCCAATGTGTGGAAGCTTTTTTTTAAATGTTATAGTTTTTCATTGAAATGTTATCTAAAAAAATTGATCTTAAAAAATCCTGAATTTGAGCGTTGTGCCACTATTGAGGTTGCCAGTATTAGTGCTGAAGAAGATGGACAAAGTCTGGGATCGTGTCTTTAATTCAGACAGAAGACATGTTTTATTGTCGTTGGTAGAGACAGCACAAACACGAACAAGGATGTTACAGACTGCAAGTGATAATATACAGCGGAGGAATGAACACCGTCCAATCAGCTTTTGCCGAGATGCCAGTAGCTTGGCCTTCATAAATCAAAACATGCTGTGGAAAAGTACTGGCTTGTGCATATGTTAGAATGATGTGTTTAGGGTTAGGGTTAGGGTTAGGGTTTAACCACAGTTGCGTCAAAGTGTCATATATTATAAATTATTTAAGATGCCCTATAGGTTTGTGTAAGCTCTCAGTCGTACAGGGATTAGTCAAAGCAAAGGAAGGTTTCTCACCCATCATCTGTACTTCTTAGCAAGTTTTCCCGACGTTTCGTCCTCAACCTAGCGGACTTCTTCAGGGAATGAATTCTCGGACCGCGCGTTGGAGATTTATAACCTATGGGTGTGGTAAGCCACACCCTAATCCTGATACTAACTCATAAACAATCTACGGTCTGCTTGATGTAGAAGGGAGCAGATCTAACGACCCTGCTGAGGCTAACGACCCTAACTCCTTAGCATGTCACAGACCTATTGTCTGCTGGGATGCTCAAGTGGAGTGCAGGTCTCACCCCTCCTAACTCATTAGCATGTCACTGACCTTGTTCCAAGTTAGGGCGTTGTTTTTAGGATGTCGTCATAGATGCGAGGCAAAACAAATCTTAACCCTCCTCCTCTGTTAAGAGAAGGTTTTTGTTTCCTCACAAAAATGGCTTCTTTCACCCCTCTCTCAAACCAATTCTTCTCCCGAGCCAGAATTTTAACCTCTGTGTCATCCACCGTGTGGTTGGAGGCCTTGAGGTGGAGATGAACAGCCGACTGTGGCCCACTAGAGTTTTCTCTACGATGTTGGTAAAGTCGTTTCTGTAGAGTTTGTTTGGTTTCTCCAATATAGTGGTCCGTGCACTCCTCTTCACTACATTTAATTGAATACACCACATTGCTCTGTTTGTGTCTGGGTGTTTTGTCTTTGGGCTGCACTAATTTATGTCTTAACGTGTTGAAAGGTTTGAAATACACAGGGATTTTGTGTTGCCTAAAGATTCTTTGTAGTTTCTCTGAAACTCCCGCCACATACGGTAAGGACACGCCTCTCCTCCTACTTTCTTCTGTCTGTTGGACTGTGTCTCTGGCCTTTCTCGTCCTTTGGGCTTTAGTAAAAGACCACTTGGGGTAGCCACATCTGGAAAGTGCTCTCTGAACATGTTTGGTTTCTCTGTTCTTTCCGTCTGAGCTTGTGGGGACCTGGTGGGCTCGGTGTTGAAGCGTTCTAATGACCCCGAGTTTGTGTTGTAGCGGATGATTTGAATCAAAGGCCAGGTACTGGTCAGTGTGAGTGGACTTTCTGAAGACCTCAGTCTCTAATTGTCTGTTCTCCAGTATGATGAAAATTTTCAGAACACATTAATTCGGTGGACCCTTTTATAAATTTCACTCGCGAGGATGCTAAGGAGAGTGAACTCGCCTTTCTAGATTGTAAGGTCATCATACTGGAGAACGGACAATTAGAGACTGAGGTCTTCAGAAAGTCCACTCACACTGACCAGTACTTGGCCTTTGATTCAAATCATCCGCTACAACACAAACTCGGGGTCATTAGAACGCTTCAACACCGAGCCCACCAGGTCCCCACAAGCTCGGAGGGAAAGAACAGAGAAACCAAACATGTTCAGAGAGCACTTTCCAGATGTGGCTACCCCAAGTGGTCTTTTACTAAAGCCCAAAGGACGAGAAAGGCCAGAGACACAGTCCAACAGACAGAAGAAAGTAGGAGGAGAGGCGTGTCCTTACCGTATGTGGCGGGAGTTTCAGAGAAACTACAAAGAATCTTTAGGCAACACAAAATCCCTGTGTATTTCAAACCTTTCAACACGTTAAGACAGAAATTAGTGCATCCCAAAGACAAAACACCCAGACACAAACAGAGCAATGTGGTGTATTCAATTAAATGTAGTGAAGAGGAGTGCACTGACCACTATATTGGAGAAACCAAACAAACTCTACAGAAACGACTTTACCAACATCGTAGAGAAAACTCTAGTGGGCCACAGTCGGCTGTTCATCTCCACCTCAAGGCCTCCAACCACACGGTGGATGACACAGAGGTTAAAATTCTGGCTCGGGAGAAGAATTGGTTTGAGAGAGGAGTGAAAGAAGCCATTTTTGTGAGGAAACAAAAACCTTCTCTTAACAGAGGAGGAGGGTTAAGATTTGTTTTGCCTCGCATCTATGACGACATCCTAAAAACAACGCCCTAACTTGGAACAAGGTCAGTGACATGCTAATGAGTTAGGAGGGGTGAGACCTACACTCCACTTGAGCATCCCAGC